AATGGCGCGATCTCGGCTCACTGCAACCTCCGCCTCCTGGGTTCACGCAATTCTCCTTCCTCAGCCTCCTGAGTAGCTGGGATTACAAGCAAGGGCCACCACGCTTGGCTAATTTTGTGTTTTTAGTAGAGACGGAGTTTCTCCATGTTAGTCAGGCTGGTCTCAAACTCCCAACCTCAGGTGATCCGCCTGCCTAGGCCTCCCAAAGTGCTAGGATTACAGGCATGAGTCACCGTGCCCAGCCCATGTTTTATTTGTTTTTAGTGAGTCAACCTCTTTGCATTCTGAGATTCCTTGTGGCAGCTGCCTATGGCCTGTTTCTAGATATATATATTTTCATTTGCTTTTTCCTTTTCTCTCTGCCCTTTAAACAGAGTGTTTTCTGCCTACATTAAAGAAGTGGATGAAAAGCCAGCCAGCACGCCCTGGGGCAGCAAGATGCCTTTTGGGCAGCTGATGTCAGAGTTTGGTGGCAGTGGCACTGGTGGCTGGGTCCACGGGGTCAGCTTCTCTGCCAGTGGGAGCCGCCTGGCCTGGGTCAGCCACGACAGCACTGTGTCTGTTGCTGATGCCTCAAAAAGTGTGCAGTGAGTATTTGCCTTTCATTTGGAAGGTGGGGAACAAGGGGTGGGATCTCTCACCAGCTGAACCAGGACTGCCCTTCCTGGTCAGTCAGTCGGTCCAGGCGCGAAGGCTAACGCCTGTAATCCCAAAACTTTTGGAGGCCAAGGTGGGTGGATCACAAGGTCAAGAGTTCAAGACCAGCCTGACCAAGATGGTGAAACCCTGTCTCTACTAAAAATAAAAAATTAGCCAGGCGTGGTGGTGGGCGCCTGTAATCCCAGCTTCTTGGAAGGCTGAGGCAGAGAATTGCTTGAACCTGAGAGGCGGAGGTTGCAGTTAGCCGAGATCACGCCACTGCACTCCAGCCTGGGTGACAGAGCGAGACTCCGTCTCAAAAGAAAACAAAACAAAACAAAAGAACTCAATCAAAACTGCAGGCAGGCTGGACTTGGTGGCTCACGCCTATAATCCCAGCACTTTGGGATAGGCTGTGGGCAGATCACCTGAGGTCAAGAATTCAAGAACAGCCTGACCAACATGGTGAAACCCTGTCTCTACTAAAAATACAAAAAGTAGCCTTGCTGGGCACAGTGGCTCATACCTGTAGTCCCAGCACTTTGGTAGGCCATGGGTGGACCACCTGAGGTCAGGAATTCAAGACCAGCCTTGGCCGGGCGTGGTGGCTCACGCCTGTAATCCCAGCACTTTGGGAGGCCGAGACGGGCGAATCACAAGGTCAGGAGATCGAGACTACGGTGAAACCCCGTCTCTACTAAAAATACAAAAAATTAGCTGGGCGCGGTGGCGGGCGCCTGTAGTCCCAGCTACTCAGGAGGCTGAGGCTGGAGAATCTCTTGAACCCAAGAAGCAGAGGTTGCAGTGAGCCAAGATTGTGCCATTGCACTCCAGTCTGGGCGACAAGAGCGGAACTCTGTCTCAAAAAAAAAAAAAAAAAACAAAACTGCAAGTCAGCCTTTACCGTGACAGGCACAGATACAAATTCTCGGGTTGGAAAATTTTTAATCTTAATGGAAGTACTGATAATGATTCCTTTCAAGAACCCTCCTGGTTTGCTACTGATAAGGGTCGCTTAAAAAGGGCCAGTTTACGCTGGGCACAGTGGCTCACACCTATAATCCCAGCACTTTGGAAGACCAAGGTGGGTGGATCACCTGAGGTCAGGAGTTCGAGAGCAGCCTGGCCAACATGGTGAAACCCTGTCTCTACAAAAATACAAAAATTAGCCTCGCATGGTGGTGGGTGCCTGTAGTCCCAGCTACTTGGGAGGCTGAGGCAGGAGAATCGCTTGAACCCAGGAGGTGGAGGCTGCAGTGAACCGAGATCATGCCAGTACACTCCGACCTGGGCACGAGAGCAAGACTCCATCTCAAAAAAAAAAAAAAAAAAAAAAAAAAAAAAAAGGCCAGTTTAGTCTGTTACTCTGAACTCCTTACAAAATGTAAATACCATTCACCGGCCTTAAATTACATTGGAGATATATTCTTACTCAGGGTAGTCAGCAAACAATGACTTCATTAATTTGAGCCTTCCATTCAGTAAGGCTTAAAAACCATTGACGCCACTTCCTCTGCCGTGTGCTGGAAGGACTCTAATTATGGTGGCTTCTTTGTGAGTGGTGTGTCTGCTCAGCCATAAAGTACCTGGCCAAATATCAGAGTTTATTTTGTTCAATATATGTTGGAGGAAGAGAGAAGATTGGAATCCTTCTTTTATCAATCTTTGTTCTTCCCTGGTGAATCCTTTTCCATTGATAGCTAAAGGAAACTCACCATTCAAGGTTTTGTGATGGACATGGCCACGTGAGTATCAAAAATCAATCACACTGGGTGACCTTTACTGCCTGTCAGGTCAGTAAGAGTCACCCAGTGTAAACAGCATATTTCAGACATGATATGTTTTTCCTAACAGGATTAAATGTGCATTTTTTAGCTAGCTTTACATATTTTTTTAAAGATTATCCCCTCCGGCCAGGCACAGTGGCTCACGCCTGTAATCCCAGCACTTTGGGAGGCCAAGGCAGGCCGATTGCCTGAGGTCAGGAGTTTGAGACCAGCCTGGCCAACACGGCAAAACCCTGTCTCTACTAAAAGTACAAAAATTAGCCAGGCAAGGTGGCAGGCGCCTGTAATCCCAGCTACCCAGGAGGCTGAGGCAGGAGAATTGCTTGAACCCAGCAGGTGGAGGTTGCAGGACAGAGCGAGACTCCGTCTCAACCTCCCAAAATTAGCCAGGCAAGGTGGCAGGCGCCTGTAATCCCAGCTACCCAGGAGGCTGAGGCAGGAGAATTGCTTGAACCCAGCAGGTGGAGGTTGCAGTGAGCTGAGATCGCACCACTACACTCCAGCCTGGGCAACAAGAGCAAGACTCTGTCTCAAAAAAAAACAAAAAAAAAAGATTGTCCCCTCCATTATAAAACGTAGTCTTTCAGAAAATGTCTCTACATAAACAAGCACTTATGTATCTTTTCATTTTTAACAGAAATGAGGTTATGTTATACATTTTATACATTTTTGTATACATTTGGTAATTTGCCTTTTGATACTTGATAATACTTTGGTATTTTGATGCCAGTGCTACTTAATTTTTATATGGTTTATTGTGACACAGTAAGTTCTTAGCATATGCTTATTACAAGTCCCTATCTACCCTCATATTGACTTCTTTCCCTTTTCCAGTCCTGCAAGTCAGATTACATGCTCCACCCTTCCACTCCTCCAACATAAATATCTCATGTAGTAAAAGTCAGGTATACCACAGTACGGGCTTCAGATGACACATTAATTCTTCAATGGCAACTTTATGAAGGGCGTCCTGAGACATGTACAGTTAGCTTTTATTTTGTTATTATTTAGAGAGACACTCTCTGTCGCGCAGGCTAGAATGCAGTTCTGCAATCATAGCTCATTACAGCCTTGAACTCCCGAGCTCAAGTGCTCCTCCCAACTCAGCCTCTAAAGCAGATGGGGCCACAGATGTGCACCACCACGCTAGGCTAATTTTTTTTTTATTTTAATTTTTTGTAGAGACTGGGTCTCACTATGTTATCCAGGCTGATCTCAAACTCCTGCCTCCAGCAATCCTTCTGCCTCAGCCCCTCAAGTGCTGAGATAACAGGCGTGAGCCACCACGCCCAGCCACAGTCAGCTTTTGAATGCATCGTTTCTTGCATGAAGTGAGGTGCTCCTAACTCATCAGCCAGTGTGTTTGCCTGCCATATCTGTGCAATCTCTTTGCCACACTCAAGAGCAAATAACTACATGCACACACATGTCCCTGCACGCACACATACACACACACGGCCCATTCGAGTGCGAGCTCCTGGCTAAGACCATTTGGTTCATCTTGGTGGCTCTAGTTGCTGACACAGTGCCTGGCCGTCAGCACAGATGTGTGTGGCCACAGCTGTCTCGGAGCTCCGGGGAGCACAGGCAAGGAGAGGGTCCTAGCACAGGTGTTTGCTGCCAAGTCATAGTAACAGAAAGAGCTCTAGGAGCTAAGAGCAGGGAGAAGCTGCTTTAGGCTACAGTGGCCTCTGGGAAAGTGGACCGTGGGATCATGGGGGTGATCCCTTTAGAGCTGTGCTGGGGGTCGAAGGGCGTGGGCGCAAAGACAGGGCTTTGGGAACCAGTTTGTCATGAGTGGGCGGGGTCTCAGAAGCAGGCGGGAGGAGCCCAGGCTGGAGCCGGAGCCGGAGCCCAGGGCCACCCCTGGCTCAAGAGGCCTGCAAGTTGAGGTCAGAGGCTCCTTTTCAACATAAGTGCCCGTTGATACTGCAGAAGCCCCTGTGAGAATGGGTCCTTTGTTGTCATCTGTGTCTGTAAAGAAGCTAATAGTCTGTTACATCTTGGGATAACAAACGTTCTTGTGTTTAGGGTCTCAACTCTGAAGACGGAGTTCCTGCCGCTCCTGAGTGTGTCATTTGTCTCAGAGAACAGCGTCGTGGCTGCTGTGAGTATTTTTCTTCATTCTCCCTCGGGGTGCACTGTATGTGATGCTCAGACAGGGAACAATGTGTGCTCTGTCACCCTAGCACAAAGCAGAACAGTTTTTTGTTTTTTGGGTTTTTTTGAGACAGAGTTTCGCTCTTGTTGTCCAGGCTGGAGTGCAGTGGGTGATCTTGACTCACTGCAACTTCTGCCTCCCGGGTTCAAGCGATTCTCCTACCTCAGCCTCCCGAGTAGCCGGGATTACAGGCATGTGCCACCATACCTGGTTAAATTTGTATTTTTATAGAGATGGGGTTTCTCCATGTTGGACAGGCCAGTCTCAAACTACGTCCTCAGGTGATCTGCCCACCTCGGCCTCCCAAAGTGTGGGCGTGAGCCACCGTGCCTGGCCTTAGAGCTCACTCTTTTTTTTTTTTTTTTTTTTTTTGAGACGGAG